GGGCGCGCGGGAGGCGGCCCCTCCTCGGCGAGCCATGCGTGCGGCGGGCGGCTGAGGAGCCGCCGGGCGCCGCGGCCAAGTCTGCGCTCGCTTTTGTCTTGCCCTCCAGTTGAATGGGAAGATGGAGATGGATGTTGAGGGAGTTTCTCCGCGCCCGGAGCCCATCCCCCGCTCCCAGGGGGCCGGCGGAGCCTGCCAGGCGCCGCCGCCGCGGACCCAGCCCCAGCCGCAGCGAGAGCAGCCGCGGGCTCAGGATGAACTGCCCGGCGAGAGTGCAGGCGCTGGGGACGGCGAAGATCCCGAGACGAGGTCCAGCGGCGAGAGAGGCGAGAGCAAGGTAGGTCCGCGGTGTCGCCGCTGTGACATCTTTTGAACAAAACCGAGGCGCTCTCATCGTGGCTGTCACTTTAACCCTCCGCTCCCCCAACCCCTTACCTCGCGAGTGTGGGGGCGGGGGCGGCAGAGGTGGAGGTGGCGCGGGCGGTGGTGACTTTGCGAACTGGAAGCGTGTGTAGAAGTCTGCTGTGGTTTCCGTGTTCAGTGATGTGTGCAGAGAAAAGTCTCCTGGTACATGCGGTGTGATGCTTAGGACAGAGCAGGCACCTCCGGGGAGCGGCGCGGAGACCTTCGCTTGCCCTCATGGTGGAACAGAGGCGTGTTGGATGATACTGGTCTAGAGAAAATTCGTCTTCACGGGCTGCCAGGTGGCTTCAGAGACAACTTGGAGCGAGGTGACATCAACCTAAAGATAACAATGGAGCAAAGTTTGGCTCCTTTGCAGAATGGAGAACATTGCTTAACCCAGCTCTGGGCTGGATGTTCTCCGCCTCACCTGGTGTCTTCTTACTTAGGACATCAGGGACCAAGTGCCCGGCAGCAGGTGAACCCTGCCAATCGTTTGCAGCCCTGCTGTGTCATTGTAGACTAGGGAACAGCTGCTGCTTACTGGGCAGAGAGGAGTTCTTCAGGTAATTGAATTCCAGTAAGAAATGGCTCAAATGCCATTCTCTGCTGCTGCTGTTTCTTCTGCTGAGAAAATGGTACGAGAAATGGCATAGCAAATAATGCCTTGGTAATAGTGGTAGAGTATTCAGTACAGCTTCGTCTCCGCCTTCTGTTTCCGTGCAGACTTTGGAGTTTAGTTTCGGGGAAGCTGGTGTTGTATGGTTGTGGCTGTGTAAAGAGCACACGTGTGTTTGTTAATACATTTTGAAACTGGCTGCTAATATTGGGGAAAAGTTGTTCAACAAATCAGAATATTGGAACCAAAGCACTGTCAGTCAATCTACCTCTCACTTTTGCTCAGGTAAGGAAGTGTATATGCAAAGAGGCACTTCTGATTAGAAGGGGGAAAAGTTGTTCAACAAATCAGAATATTGGAACCAAAGCACTGTCAGTCAATCTACCTCTCACTTTTGCTCAGGTAAGGAAGTGTATATGCAAAGAGGCACTTCTGATTAGAAGCGGATTGCATCTCTAGAAGACCTCCTCCTTGGAGATTGCTTCGGTTTCTGCTAGCCCTTACTTAAAATACAAGTAGATTAAACAAATACCCAAACCATGTCAAGATCACACTGAATGTTGCTCTTCTGTGTTTGGAGACAGCTCACCTAACAAGTTTGGATTTGCACATATTCAAAATTGCTTTGCAGTTTGAAACGGAGCTAAAAATTAAGGTTGTTGTTTATCTACCAAAATCAATATTGTTATTTAAATGGCAGCCTACCAAGGAACTGGAATTTGAACATGCTCTAGTTCTTACAAATGCATACAAGATTTATGTTGTGAAAACTATGATGAATTTTAATATTCTGATATCCTCAGTTTTCCAGTTGCTCCTGATTTCATGAATATTTAATTCTGTCATGACTGCATATTTTCTACTTTAAATGACTGCTCAGTTTTATGAAATAACCATCACTGAGCATCATGTCACCTAATTGAACTTGAAGTTTCTCTTGCAAAAATAGGTGTGGAGAATAATCAAAATATGCAGCCAGCGCTGCCATTTCCATATTGTTGGTTCACATGCTCTAAGCATGAGAAATTCCTGCCATCAGCAAAAATCTGTGCTTATTTGTTTCTCTTTGCTGCACCGTGCAGACTGTCTGATGTTCTACTGCTTCTGGGGCATAAGAAAGGCAATGCACTAGAAATATTACAGCAGGTGAAAGAGGATTGAAAGCGGGTTGATTACATTTAGTTAATTAGCATGTTCAGATAATTGAGTATTCCAATGATGAGATTTGCTTCATGTTTGTCTGCAATTTCTGGAAATGGAAACAAAATACTACTTTTCTCCCTCCAGGTGTTTGCCTTAAAAATAATGTTACATCCTTCTCTTAACCTAGAAGTCAGTTGTGTTAACCCTTTGCTTATCTCAGGTGCTTGTGAGTTTGAGGATGGTTAAGTTTCAGACCTTAGTAACTGTTTTTGTTTTTTAATGAACTAAGGCAAGTTATAGATTGAGTTTTCTTAGCAAATTCTGGTTGTTTTAGTGGAAAGACCTTTGTGTGTTTGACCAAATTATTCTACTAAATTATTAATGGAAGACAAACTAGGATAAAGTTAAATCTGGTGTTACTAGACTTTTTGTGTGAGATGGGTAACATACAGCAGTAAAGTTCACAAACAGAAACTAAAAATACACACTATACGATTATGTTTTCTTCATAATAAAATAAGAATTTTGAAACCTGAATTATTTATCTCCAGTGTTTCACCATATAAGCATAGCATAAATAGCATGTGAAGGTATATGCTTCTTGAAAAGTAAACTATTGGGGGGATAGTGGTATTGTGTTTTGTTGTTGTTTTTTAGATTCTGGTTTGAGGTCCTGATTTATTTTCTCCAAAGTTTACCTCAGTTGTTCTATGGGAAAAGAAATTGGTGCTTAGTGCCAGATCAGCTTGGCTTCCAAATTGCAGTTTCACAGTATGTCCTTTGAAAGTCTCTGAAATAGGAAGAGGTTAGAAAACTGGATCAGCCAAGGGATTTTTTTTTTTGGCACTGGTTTCATGATGTGACTGATGCTTTCTATTCTAGATATTCTAGATAGTGATGCCTAATTCCTCTCTAGCAACTACTCTTCAAAGAAGTGTTACAGCAACCCTGTGTTGTATATGCTTTGATTCCATGAGGTAGAAAGGACTCTAAATCAACCACTGATTCCTCCTTTGTTCTTTTACACTAAGCCTTTACAGAAAGCGGCCTCTGCAGTCGTCTGAAGACAACCAACTAATCACCTCTGGTTATCTCTGAGATGTCTTCTCACCTGTTATTTTAAGATCTTCTTTTTTATATCTAAAAAGAGATTCTAAATTGGACATATCTCCTTTTATCTAGTCCTAAGAATAAAAATTAAAAATAGTCACTCTCCTTAAATAAGACTTTCAAATCCTCGGCAGTGCTCTTGATTATGGATCTAGTCATCCTTAAAACTTTCTTACCAGCTTTCTGCAGGCTCTGAGTATCCTTTTAGTGACTTTTAAAACTCTTTTGTAATGCTTTGTATATGCTGAATAACTCTCATTCAGGTGCTTGTCAAACTTCCTTTGGAAAGCTGTTTGTTTTAATTTTTATTTATTGTATTGAGGGCCACTCCAGTGTCTTATGTTCTCTATGTTATCAAATTACCTAAACAAATGTGCAAATTCTTTTACTGAACCTAAATGAATAATAGAAATGATTCTTTCTTGTCTATTTCACCTTGTCTTATTCTTATATTTCCTTTTCTCTTCCTTACTGTCCATATTTTTCTGCTCCCTCCTTTCAACCCACACTCCATCTACCATGACGTTTTGTAATGTGTATTTATGGCCCATATGTGAAGTGTCATGATCAAACTTCCTTTTATGTGCAGCTCTCATTAAAGCTTTGCCTTGCAAGACATGTTGTTCTTTCTTGTGGCTCTGAACTGGAGACTGTGCTGTTGCTACCAATGATGCTTCATTGACAGAAATGATTCCAAATTCCAGATTCAAGTGGATTCCATCAGTAATGCTGCCTTAAATATTCACTTTATTATAGCTTTTGAAGCTGCTTATTTTGAAATAAGTTTAGATTTATGGTAGAGTTGTGAAAGTAAGACAGATTTCTGCATAACTTTACCCATTTTTTTTCTGTTGCCACTGTCTAATCATGGTTTGTGTATCACAATGAAGAAATTAACCTTCTACAATACTACTAGCTAGACTTGTCCGGGAAATTTTAGTTGAGTGAATGTATAGCATCTCAATGTTTTCCATTCTATTTTTATAGTATTAAATAAGGCCTGGATTTTTTTTTTTGGAAAAGCTCCATGAGAGTGTATTTAAGAATCTAACTGAATTTCATGGTAACTACTTACACTTTTTTCCTGGTATCTAAAAGCAGCTTACAAAGTATAAGACCTGAAATTCCTGAAACCGTGTCTATAGCAGTGAGCCAGGTGGGAGTTGAAAGTTTGGCAAAGCTCTAGGGAGCTATTGACTTATGGGAAGTGATAGTCTTTTTTTTAGACTGAAAGATATTCCTGCTTAAGGTGAGGTAGGGTTTGTCAGCCTGCAGAAGATAGCAAAGTCTCAAATGGCAAGCAGAGGAGAAAAGGCCGTGGATAAAATCAAGGCAGTTTACCTAGATGCCAAACCCCTTGGGTGATTGCTTCTGGCATGAAGAATAATGGAAGTCCTTTCATTTTTACATTATTAACCAAATGATCTGTTATTTCTAGCCCAGAGGCAGAAACTTGCCCACATTAAGCATAATGTCAAAGGTATTAAGAGTGTTGACTGGGAAATCAGAAAGATCTGAGTTTGATCTTGGCTCTTCCATTCACTCCTGACTTTGCACAAGGTTTTAACCTTTCTAACCTCAGTCTTTTCACCCATAAGGTAGAAGTATTTGTAGTGCTAACCGTCTTTGATGATTGTGTGGTTGAAATGAGATAAAAAGTTTTAGATTCAGTGCTGCATAGTTAATACCACCCAACATTGTTAATATAAAAATCTTGTTGTTATTGCTGCTATTGGAGTCCAACGTTTAAAAGGAGGATGAACTTGGACTCTTAGCTCACCTAGAGTTTTCAGTTCCCTAGAGCATCTTAGGATTCACCATGCTACAGTCAAGTCATGTTGGTCCTCACAGATCTGATTTTGGTCTGTTAGCCTTAGGATGTTCCCAAATCTTTTCCAGGTAGGTAAGAAGTTAGCAAAGAATTACACTGTCAATTTACTGCTCTGCTGTTACCAGGAAAACTAGGGAGGGTCAGGGTGGGAAATCCCTCCAGCTTCCCCAGGTTGGGGGAAGGGGATATATGTAAGGTGCTTATGAAGGAGATAGATTGTCTTGCTCTTGCA